TTTCATATCAGGTATCTACCAAAACTCTAGGTCCTGCAAACAACTCTCAAGTTGTACTTTAGTAAGTTAAAGGTCAATAACAAAATATTCTGTTTTCTAATATTTCTAATATTTCTAATATGTCTTCTAACACATACAATCTTTGATTGCTCTCCAGCCCCTTTCACTTAATTTGCAGCTATATAAGTGATGTATTAGGTAGGACCTCTTTAGTTATTGGAGGAACTCAGTTTGAATTAGTTTTAGCAGAAGAGGATATTTATTGACCTGCATAAGAAAATATATTGACTCTAATAAACATCTGCAGCTTGTGTAGAGTCATGATGTGGGAGACAACTGGGAAATTTGGATCCCAGTACTGGTGACAGGAGTATTCCCTGTTCTTAATAAGAGGTGATAGCTGGTTATAGTTCCCTTTGCATAACCAAGGAGTGTAAACAGTGAATTAACCTAAGGGAGAACTTGCTATTTGTCAGAGCTGACTAAAAGCGAGATAGGCTACCTTGGGATTCTGTGAGTTCCTTCTCTTGGTTCTTCTTGGTGGAGATACTGCAGATCAGATCCAAGAACCTATTGGATGGTTGTAGCACATAATCTTTAAGCTCTTTTTCAACCCTGAGAATATGTTTGCAGTATTTAGCATAATGCCTGGCACACAGTAGGTGTGCAGTATATGCTAAATTAAATATTTGTGGACTTCATTGTGCCACAAGAGCAAAGAACAAAACAAAAAACGAGGTCAAGTAGAAATAGAACTTCGAAGGTAGATTCACATTTGTCTGTCTGTCTGTGTCATCTTGTCCTGTTACTGCCTATCTTGGCTTTATCGAAAGCTATGCATAGTGTAGTGGTTAAGAGTTTGTATTCTGAAGCCAGACTGCCTGGATTAGATTCCCAGTTCTGCCTTTTACAAACTGTGTGACTTCAGACAAGATGAACTTTAATTTTCTGTTAAAAGAGACCAGTAATGTTCCTGTCCCAGGGTTGTTGTAAGAATTAAATGAAATATGAAAGTTCAAGTCACTGCTTGGCAGATAATAAATGCTATAGAATTGCCTGGTATAATTATCATTAGTGTTTTCTTCTCCAGATGGTGTTCTCTATAGGAGAGTACACAGGACTACCTGTCACTTTAAACTGACATCTTCACCATTTCCCCTTGTTGTTGTTTTCTAGGGCTGTCATAACAAATGACCACAAACTGGGTAAATGACAACAACAGAAATTTATTCTCTTACAGTTCTGGAGGCCAGATGTCTAAAATCGAGGTTTTAATAGGGACACATTCCCTCTAAAGGCTCCAGGGGAGAATTCTTCATTGCCTCCTTCAGCTTCTGGTTGTTCCAGGCATTTCATGTCTTTTTGCTAACATAACTCCAGTTTCTGCCCTCCATCTTCACAAGATTTTCTCCCTCATCTGTCTTAAATCTCCCTCTGTCTTTCCCTTCTAAGGATACTTGTCACAGTCTCAGGGCCCACTTGGGTTAATCCAAAATGATCTTATCTCAGAATTCTTAATTACCTAGTTCAAACACTCTTTTGCCAAATAGGGTAACAATCATAGGTTCCGGAGATTAGGATGTGGACATATCTTTTGTTGGGGTCACAGTGTAACTCATTAGGTTACCAAACAGGACAGTGGCCTTTTCCTCTCCTTCCCTCCTGTAGACTGAATGTGTACCCCCAAAATACATATGTTGAAACCTAATCCCCAATGTGATATTTGGGGGTGGGCCTTCAGGAAGTGATTAGTACCTTTAAAACATAGACTCCGGTTTTGCACAGTGGCAGTATCGTAGCCAATGAGGTTTATCCGAGGTGTGGTTATGGATAATTGAAAAACAATGGACTCTAGAGAAATCTCTTACCCCTTCTGCCATGTGAGGGCACAGTGAGAAGATGACTATCTAAAAACTAGAAAGTGGGTCCTTGCCAGACACAAAATCTGTTGCCTTGATTTTGGACTTCTCAGCATCCAGAACTGTAAGAAATAAGATTTCTGGGGCACCTGGGTGGCTCAGTGGGTTAGGCCTCTGCCCTCGGCTTGGGTCATGATCTCAGGGTCCTGGGATCGAGTCCTGCATCGGGCTCTCTGCTCGGCAGGGAGCCTGCTTCCCCCGGCTCTCTCTCTGCCTGCCTCTCTGCCTACTTGTGATCTCTCTCTGTCAAATAAATAAATAAAAATCTTTAAAAAAAATTAAAAAAAAGAAAGAAAAGAAATAAAATTTCTGTTGTTTATAAGCCGCCCAGTCTATCGTACTCTGTTACAGCAGCCAGAATGGATTAAGAGCCCTCTCACTTGGAAAATCCCAAGGAAGAACCTTAAAGGTTGAGTTTTGTTTGAGGATGTTCGTGGGCTAACCAGTCACAAGCCACTCCTAGTGGTGCAAGTGCAGGAGTATTGGCATTATAACTGATCTGTCCCTTCCCTTGCACTTATCCCTTTCTGAAGTGAAAAGAGGTAACACACACATGACCATTGGGACACTTGTAAACAGCAGGCACTCAGGCATGTACGTATTTGTGTGAATGGATATTCCTTTGTTTTCCTAGTTTTGGTTTCATTCTGGCCTACTAGATCACTGAGTGTATTTTCTAGTTGGGCAGTATCCTTTAAAAAGAATTTCAGACTTGTTTTTGTTTTTTTGAGTCCCAGGCCTTACTTGCCAGTAGCTCGTTGTTAGGAAGATGCTGCTTGATTTAGAAAACCGATTGCCTTATTGACACATGTTTCAGTGCTTAGAAACTGAAGTTCTCCATAAGGCAGGCTTCCCAGGAGTTTTATTTTCTTCCCTAAGTGGTGATCCATCAATGTAATCCTCTTTAAAGAACAAATTATTTACTGTAACATTTGTTCTCTGAAAATGCATTATCATTGATAGATCACTGCAATCTACTCTTCTATTAGCTTGCTGGTAATATATTTTCTACCTCTGTTATTCTTAAAAATTCTAGTACTTAGCATTTGGAACTAGAACTTTATAGAGTCCCAAAGTGTCACTATCTGTCAGAGTCTGAGCTTAGTATCCAGATAGTTGGACAAATTTCAGTCACCTATACTAGTAGTATCCTACTAATGAAGAGAAGTCCAGAGTAATCCTTCCAAAAGCTATGATCATAGAACTGATGGGCAGATTCTCTTCTCTCAGATAAGAGAAAGCCAGTGATACATAATTCTAGATTAATCTGTGAAGATTATGATAAAACAGATAATTTCTTAAATTATTTTTAGCAGTAAAAATATCTACCTGTTTGAAGAAACACCTGGCAAACAAGTTTCTCCATATATATGGGGACTACTTAATAGTATCCAGGTGCCTAGACAAGTCACGGAGAGCTCCATGGCTCTGTCACTGTGCCTAATCAGGACTGTCAAAGGAGAAATTAGGAAAAGGAAGAGAGTGGATAAATTATTGAGAATCTGAATGTGAAGCTGGGAATATGAATGGATTACTTAGTTCATGTTCTATCATAAAGTTTAAAAGAGGAGTGCCCAGCTAGAAGCAGACAGAATGACAGATTTTACAATGGCAAATCTTTTTATTCTTCATGTTAGGCAGTTTACATGATGTTTGCTGATTATGAACTATTGTGTTAGTGCTTACACATTTTTACAGGCTGTCCGTATAATGATAATAAATGCATGCATTTCCTAAGTGTTAGGTATAAACTTTTACTATACAAGTTGGCACAAAATCCAGTTTTTACTATGTTCTGATTTGTATTTTTCAAATTTTGAAAGCTTATTTCCTCAGCCTTGCAAAGTCATTTCCATGCTTCTTATTTACATTTGTATTATCATCCATGTAGACCTCTGTAGATATTTACTCCCTGGTAAAACCTTCCTTTTTACCTGTTGGTCACAGAAATGTCTTCCATTAGAACTCACTGGGGTGTAGCAAGTTTCTTGGTCAAGAAAATGAACAATGAGAGACAAGTATTCATCTATGAATAAATTTCTTAGGCCGAAACCCGAAGAGCTACACAAAGCAGGGCATTCTAAAAAGAAAGACTTTTAGAGAGTGCTCAAAATTGCATAGTAGGGTTACATTGTCAGGGTTTGGGATGGCTGGTGGCACCTGGGTCCTCAGGTTCTCCCTGCACTTGCATCATGATTTTTAAGCCTGGCTATACATTGTAACAACTTGGGAATCTTTTAAAGGTTATTAATGTCAAAATCACACCCCCAAGGATATTGACTTAATTGGTTTAGGGTAGATAGAGCCTGAGCATTAGTCATATGTGTATATGTATATATAATTTTTTTTTTAAAGTTCTCTAGGTGATTCCAGTGTTCAACCAGGATTGGAAACCACTGATTTACATGAGCAGAGACAATCAACAAAGTTTCAGTTACTAGATAAAACTATTCAAATCCACTGTTCATGCTTCACATTTATAGATTTCATATTTGTTTTTCAAAGTAGTTTACATTTTTTTTTAACAGTTTGGTCAGTATTTAGCTGGTTGTATAAGTTGCTCACACAGTACCAGAATGAGGTAGAAATTAGTGATTCTCCACTTTGGCTAAACATGAGGTGACTTGTTTCACAGACTTTAACAAATCTTTTTTTTTTTTTTAAGATTTTATTTATTTATTTGTCAGGGACAGAGGGAGAGAGAGCGAGCGAGCACAGGCAGACAGAGAGGCAGGCAGAGGCAGAGGGAGAAGCAGGTTCCCTGTCGAGCAAGGAGCCCGATGTGGGACTTGATCCCAGGACACTGGGATCATGACCTGAGCCGAAGGCAGCCGCTTAACCAACTGAGCCACCCAGGCATCCCAAACTTTAACAAATCTTAATACTCAGACACACCAAGACCAATTAATTCAGAATCTCTAATGGTGAGACTTGGGCATTGGTAATTTTTTTTTTAACTGCTCCTTAAGTGATCAAATATAAAGCCAAGTTTGAGAACCATAGATCTTAATCTTTCTTGAGTTATTTTTTTTTTAATGGTTCCAGTCAACCACAGTCTCACTCTAAGTCTTTCTTTTTCAGGATATTATAGATAGACTTATAATTTTGAATTCAGAAGCTAAGATTCGTTCTTTATTCAACTATGAACAATCACACATCTTTGGTCTAAGGTAAGGCACTAAATTTTATTTGAGGTACATTTTCTATCTTGCAGAAATGGTTAAGCATATGTTCTACTTTCAAAAAGTATTTAAAATGAGCTAATTTTTAAAGCATGTTTAAAGGTAAATGATAACTTTATAGACAAAATAAATACAGGTATTAGGTTTTTATATAATGGCTTTGTCTACCTTTAGGTTCTGTGTTAGTACCATGTCTTCCACATTTGTTTGATTTATATTACAAATGCCTTTTTAAAAACAGGCATTTTTTTCAGACTCTTCAGTTTACTCAGGAGTCAACTTCCCTGTGTTGGTATTTGATGGGACTCCTTCCGTAGTAGAGACGTAGTAGAGAGAGGCCTGAAAATGCATGATCTGTCTGAAGGCTCAAATTATGCTCCTTGATGTTAACCGTTACTCCTTAACCTCAGTTTTTCCAAGCTTTAAAACTTTTTGGTCATATATAGACCTATAATTTGTTTTCCTACCTATAAATTACCACTTTTAAAACTAGCTGAATTAAAGCCATTTTCCATTTTCAGTTTGTGATTCTTTTTTGTTTTTGTTTTTGTTTTTCCTTTCCACTAGCAAAATAACCTTTTCAGCCAACAAGGAGGGCGTCAGTGAGAATGCTTTACCTAAGAGATAAAGCGGTCACTTTTCTAAAATTAGAGTCTCTGGTGATGGTAGTATATATTATAGATCTTAAACTCAAACTTTTTATTTTTATTTTTTTTTTTTTACCATTAATAGCTGAGTTTCTTTTTTGGACTTTTTTGTTCAAAGAAGGTAGAAAAACTGTAGCTATTTTAGTTCTTCATGTGTCCTCTATCTCAAATATATTTTCACATTAAACTTGTCATATATAGCATCAGATACATCATATAGAAAGCAATGATGAAAAATACTAGGAAAAATCTACTCAGTAGAACTTCTTCTGCATAGCAAGTATATTTCTGAGTTTTGTAGTTATAGAATATAGATTCTGGCTTCTTTTTAACTGATATAGTGAGTGAATTTTTTTTTTTTTTTTTTTGTATAAAGAACAGTATTTTTTCCTAGTATTTTTGTTAAAAAAAATAATAATGGGATTTTAAGTCATGTAAAAAGCCATCCAAGAAGTAAAATACCTCTGGGAATAAAATATATTAATTTACATAGCATGTGCTTTTTTCAAATGTAGTGCAGTATCCAAATGGAGTCATTCTGTTCTACAGGAGAAAATTTGCCATGGCATTGTCTGTATGTGTAATAGTGTTGTGTAGTATGGTGGTTAGATTAGCAAATGGATTCTAGAGTCAAGACTTGCTTGCTCTCTACTATTTGTGTGAGTTGGGATCTCAGTTATCATCTGTAAAATGGAAGAAAATTGTATTATTTTCCTCATAGAACTATTATGAGAATTGCGCAAGAAAAACTAGAAGGACTTACTGACAGTGCCTGGCATGTAGCAAGCGCTATAAAAATGCTCATAATAGATGTAGTAGCAGTATTACTTCATGTGTTTCTTTATATCTTCTTGTTTTTATGATTTTTGTGTTTAACTAGGAAGTAAATTTTGTCTTCATTCTTTCAGTACCCCGGTAGTCTTCAACGTGCCACCAAGTAATTTGCTATGTTTACAGTATCAGCAATAAGAGAGAGAAAAAGACCAAATCACTTTCTGAGGAAAAGTTTGTATTTTATTTTTTGTGGGTTTTTAGCAAGTTTTTCTTTGACATATGTTTGTTTCATTGTATTTCAAAATTCATGCTCATAATATTCAGTTATATTTTTAAATCATACTTTTGAGGTTAGATAATTTACTGTCTTCTACTAATTTTAGTCTAGTGTTGGTCATTGGGGCCCAATAGTGATAATTTATATCACGCCTTTGTATTCTATAAATCTTGTGATTCTCTGTGTTTTGAATTCTTACTTGTATCATTTTCTTTACTTTCTACAATGGTTTTGTTTCTTTTTTTTTTTTTAAATGATTTTATTTATTTATTTGAGAGACAGAGATCACAAGTAGGCAGAGAGGCAGGCAGAGAGAGAGAGAGCAGGAAGCAGGCTCCCTGCTGAGCAGAGATCCCGATGTGGGCTCGATTCCAGAACCCTGAGATCATGACCTGAGCCGAAGGCAGAGGCTTTAACCCACTGAGCCACCCAGGTGCCCCAACAATGGTTTTGTTTCTAATTGTACCTTTATTATACTGTTCCCCTCAATAGTTCATCTCATGAATGTTTTTGCCTTGTATACTTTTCACTGCTTGTTCCATTCACTTTTTTCCCCCTCTGAATAACAGTAAGTTTAATACAGTTTCTGTAGGTTTGCCACAGCACTTAGATGAGGCTAATGCAGGGCTCAGTGAAATGTGGATTTTCACTTTTTAATAGTATCACATTCTCTGTAAATTTCGAATTTTTATTTGTTCAGATCCTAAAAATCTTGTATCGTAAATGACTAATATATAAGAAGGTTGCTCCTTTGATTAGCCCTCCTATCCTCTTTGTTTCTGCTTCTAGCCTGTCCTTTTCTAATTTTGGTATCTGGGTGCAGACGTGCCTTCACATGTTTCATCTTAAAATGAAGCACACTCAAAAAGAAATTTCTCTTGACCTCCCGTCTCTGAAGTCACTGTCCTGTTTCTCTTCCTCTCACCATACTAATTAATCTGTATAAACTGTCCCCACTTGCTCACATCTCTTTACTTCTCAACCCACTTAGATTTGACATTGACTTTATAACTTGGTCAGAATTATACATCCTGCTCAAGTTGCCTGTAGCTTCTATCCTGATGAATGTAATAGATTCTTCTCTTTTTAATTCTCCTCTTACTGTAACTATCAGCATTTGACATAGTAGATCATTTCTTTCTGTGTAAGAGTTCTCTTTGCTTCTATGAAAACTTCCATAGCTGCTATTTTTTCTCTTTTGCATTCTCTTAGCAATCTCTGGAATATGGAATAATTGGGACTTTGTCCCAGTTGCACTTTTTTCCTCTTTGTTCCACCCCAAGTTCATCCACTTACGTCTTTGCCTTTAAGTATCTTATATGGCAGTAGGTGCCCCATAGTTTATATCCCTAACCTTAATCATTATTTGGAGCTGCCACGTTCAAATATACAACTCTCTCTTGATGTCTCAATTCATACATTTCTCAGACATCTTAACATGTCTAAAACTGAACTTTTGGGTCTCCTCTCACAAAAACAAACAAAACAGAAATAAATCTGTTTCCATCTCATTAAGTGGCCCAACCAGTTATTCAGTAGCTCAGTCTTGAAAGTCGTCTTAACTTTTTTTGTTTGCTTTTCAAACAGTGATTTATCTTTCTTATAAAGAAATTAACCAACACAGGAAACTAAATTATAACACATTAAGTGACATTCTTCCTAACTCTGAAAGTAACATTATTTTTAAAAGTTTTAATTCCAGTGTAGTTAACGTACAGCATTATGTATTAGTTTCAGGTGTACGATATAGTGATTCAGCAGTTCTGTACTTAGTGATCATCAAGTAAGTGTATTCTTAATTCCCTGCACCTATCTGAAAGTAATATTATTAACATTGAGGAGAAATATTCTGGACATCTTTCTGTGCATGTACAGACAGAAGAATAGATATGTGGAGATTGTTTTATAAAAATGGAATCATAATAGAGTTTCCATTTTAAATTCTAACTGGATTTTATAGGAAAGAAAAACTAGTGAGACTGAAGAAATTGCTGAATTTCAAGTAACTGCTTTTTTTTTTTTTTCACTCCAGGGGTAATTATTTCCCCAGAGATTCCTCTAAGTTTAAGAAAAAAAGATTATGTAAAACATTTCAAGTGGTTTGAACATTATATTTCACTTTTATACAGTATTGATTGACTCTCTGCTATGAGAGATGAGGACATTAATGCTCTCATTGGCCTCCCATCTTCCCTGTGTCCACCTGTGTTGAAGGATGGTCTTCTATTGTTTCCTAACCTGCCTTCTTAAGTCCTCGATCTTTCTTACCTCTCTACCCAGGAGGGAGATTAAACTAATCTAGGTTGCTTAGTGTAGTGACATGAGATATGCAGCACTTCTTTAATATGGCTGCAGATTAATATTTATAATTTGTTAGTTTACTCTTCTCTACTTCATTTACTCTGCCAATATTTATTGAATGCTTGTTATGCTCTGTGTTAGATGTAGGGGATGTAATGATGAGTAAATAAGATGTGCTCGTTCTCTTTAACCTTACTGCCTAATGAGGAATCAGATGTTAAGGTAATAAAAAAGTGAGGTAATTAATGCAGAAAAGAAACACATCCTTATAAAACTCCCCACCTTCCCATTTTAAATAACTGGGAGTTCCATACTTCCTTTTGTGGCTTTTATCCCTAAAAGCCATAATATCCACATATATCACATATATCCATAATATATCTACACCTTTCCTATGTTCATTATTTTCCACCTTTCCTCAGCCTGAACTAATGCTTAATAGGTTAGACTTCTTATCTCCTCAATCACAGTGTTTATTATTGCCTATATACCTATATTTTTGTCTTAAATATTGCTTTCACTTTTGTTATCTTATAAAAACTTGACTCATCCTTCAAGGCAAAGGTTGCTTTATGAATTACTTATTCCATGACTTATGATAGCATACTTTTATCTTGTCTTTTTCCTCTGTGTTCTTTGCCTTTATAGTCATTTCCACAGATTTGGTATTTATTTCTCATCCTGATAAAACTTAAACTTACTAAGGGAATATCATTTTCTTTGACTTTCATGTCCACCACATTGCTAGGTACTTTCTGGTTATTTGGTTAACATTTATTTGCTAAATCTGTTAGTTTTTTAATTTGTTTAAGAAAGCTGTACATTTATTGAAAATTTTGGGTGCAAATTATTTTCTTGAACATTGTCTTTTACAGACAAAAATTAAGGCACCTTCGGGTTCTGATCCTCTATAATATCTTCTTTTCCACAGTTGAGGCTTAATAGAGATATATAATTGATATATATCAGTTTCAGATTACAACATGATT